CATTTGCATAGATTAAAGCAAATATTCTCTAAAACACTATATTTTATTGATATTTATTGGTCAAATTAATTTAATATAGAATTTCAGATTTTAAAATTAGTAACAAATCCTAATCTATACTTCCTTTGGTTTTCCATATTTCTAAAATTCTATCCAATTCTCGATGAGGAATTACAGAATCAAGTTATTATACTTTATGAATAATTTATTAAATTATTTTGGGTTCAGATCCATAACTTTAATACAAGGTTATTGAATTATTAAGATCTAATTCATTTAGATGTTTATCTAATACAATTTAGAGTTTGTTTCTAACTACTTCATAAACATCATAAAAGGATATTGGTTAAATTCGACTGAATTTGAAAAATATATTAAGTAGAGTAGTCAGAGCATCTAAGTAATCGTTTACTTGAGTTTGGTCGAATTTCATTTAATTGAGAATAGCAAACAACTATTTTTCTGTAAAAACAAGAGGAAGATCATATTCACTATAATGATATTACTCTACCGTTGATTCTTACATTCTAAACTTTCTATTCATGAAAAGGAATATTTATTTGAGAGTGATGCTCATTTCTTGGAGTGGAATAGTTTCTAAGTTATTGCATATTTGTACAACCAAGTTTTACCAGGCAGACAAATCTAAAATGTTAAAATGATTCATTATTTGAGACACATCCTAAAGATATTAGGGTCGGATCCATTATTATAATTCTTCATCCAATTTTTGTTCACCATATATTCCTCTAATCTTCCGATATATATATATTGGCTATAACTATATCTTAAAAGTTGTTATTGTTTTAATTAGAGATTCTCTTCAACCTTTGTCTTAATCTAAAGCAATATTCTTGATAGCCTCTATGTATTCAATCTATTCATATCTCCTAATATGTCTACCATATTAAATAGGAAAGCATTATTCAAAAAGTCAGTCAATCTTTTCGAATGAACCAAAATCATTATGGAAACTCGTTGTCTTAAAATTAATGCTAATGCAATTCTATTTTACAAAAAAAACCTAATGTAAAACTTTTAAATCACACTTCTCAATATTAAAAGTAAAACCTCATAAAAACGAAGAAATTGTAATGAAATTTAGTTTAAAGTTCATCTAAATGAAATGAAATAAGTCTTAGTAAATAAGCACAAATATTTATTAGGAAGAGAAAATTTAACAAAAAATAAAGATCAAATTTTTAGTGATACTACATTGAAAAGTAAAGAATATCAGGAAAAAAATAAAAATTGTGCTTATCCCAATTACTAATAAAGATATTAATGAAGGCAATTCATGACATTTGCTTTTTATCTAAACCTTAAGCAAATTAATTATAAAGTTTTTGAAGTGCTATTAAGGTGCTAAATTATATTTTAAATTAATTAAAAGCATTCTAGAGATATTAGGAAATCTAGAAATCACGCTTTTGTTCATAGAAGGCCAATTTCAATGAAAAAAGTTGAGATAAATACAAAGATAATTTAGATGTGCTCCAAAAACCAAAGATGAAAAGGAAGCATCTCACCTCTTAAAATAATTTTTTATGATTGAAAAGAAAAAGAAAATAACAGAGATCAGAATATACATTTTTAAAATAATACTTATGATTTAGGTATAGTCTTGTAGATCGATATGAATGGAATTGAATGTCCATTTTAATGGATTAACTAATTTTTCGCTCAGTAATTCGCTTTTTCATATAGAAGGTTTAAGCAACTGCTCATAAATTATTAATCAAATTGAGGATTATTTATAGAATATTGGACAAATTGTAAGTTCCTTTTTATATTCCCTTAAAATTTATTTCTTTAATTAAGATTTAACTTTAACCAATTGGGAAATTAAATTAAATTAAATTAATTGAAAATTTAAGAAGAATTCACCTCAAGTTTATTAATCATTGTTAGTTATGTTCAGGGCATAAACTAAA